TCTCTCTCTCTCTCTCTCTCTCTCTCTCTCTCTCTCTCCTTCTCCACTCACTCACAGTCTCCCTCCTATCACTCATACTCTCTCATTCACTCCCATTCTCTCTCCCATATAAACTCATATTCGCTTTGCTCTGTGCTCTATGTGTTGGGCATATATACAGAGCAGTGATGTGTAGATACAGTACAGAGTGTTCTCTCCATTCAAATAGAGAGCGAACGATGGCTTGTATTGATCGCAATGTTCTCACAGCGAGTCTTACGTCCAATGCGTTGAAGAGTCGACCAAACCATACATTGAATGCAATTCAGTGTTTGCTCTCATATTCATCCTGTGTTTCAATTGTCAATTGATTGCATAAAAACCAAACCAATCAATCCATTCACTATAAGACGCCTACAATTAGCAATCATTTCATAGTTTTATTGACTTTTATTTGATGGAAATAAAGGAAAACATTATATTTTCGTTTGTTCTCATAGTTTAATTCAATTAATTTTAATTATTTAATAACAACATAATCAACAAATAGTTTCATTTTGTTTTGTTTTGTATAAATAAATTAATATTACAATCAGTAGAAAATACAGTAATATTTAGCAAAAAGGCTTTGGAAATGAATTGAAACAAATGAAAAATGATATATAAATTATATAATAATTTACTTCAAACAAAAAACACGATTCACTTCTAATTCACGTCTCAATTCTCTCCCAAAATATATTAAAATTCATTTATTTTTCTCTATACCTCTTCTCTCGCAATAACTTCTTTATACACATATACAGTATATTATAGTTATATTTTATTATAATATTCTCTACACTTTCTTTCTTTCTTACTTTCTTCCCATCGTTTTGTCTCCCATTCTCTGAGAATAATCTTTTATATTCTGTTAATTATAGGATATTCTTTCACAATATATATATATATTTATAGTAAATATATATTCAATAACAATAGAAAAAGCTTGTGAAGAGAGTACTGGATATTATCTATTAAATCGATATAATACTCGTATGTATTTATATAACCTTTTCTTTCGTATATTATATTCAATTAATTGTTAGACAATAAATAAAAGGATTGCAAAACAAGATCACAAACTAATTGCAACGAAAACTTCAATTAATATTGTCATACATTTTTGTTGTTTTAGTTTTAGACAATTATTTTGTTGGACAAATGACTAGAGATTTTTTACTTTGTATACAATAATTGTTTTTCATTATAATTATGTTTTTTGTATTTTGTTATTTTCCTACCGCTCCTCAAAGTTCTCTTGTATTATATTTACAAATACATTGAATTCATGTTTAAGTTATACATTATGTTATATAATAAAAATGGTTTCAATTTCTCTTGAAATATATGTTCATGTAATTTGTTGTATAAATTAATAGATAAAGAAAATTAAGTGAAAAATATATCACATAATGAGATGATTATATAAAGAGAGAGAAATACAGAGAGAATAACCTAATCGTCCGCTTAAAAAGTCTCATTAATTACAGTAATACTGTATTAAGTCATTGAGAATTATAGTAATCATAATAAATAATACTTTCATTTAGAAAAGTGAGCGTAAAGTCTGTTGTTTTCAATACACAAGTTATGTAAGAAATGGATATTTGATTTCTCATGAAATTTTAGCATTGAATGCAAAGTATTGTTTAAGAAATACATAATAAAAATTAGTAAATAATTCGTAATAATAGTAGAAAAATGAGTACAAATACAAGGAATTGTCATAGAATTTAAGCATATAATTGGTTTTGATGTAACCAAGATCAATTTGATCAAATAACTAAACTCACTGAATAGCACCGGGAATTAAATAACCAACAAAATCAATGGTTAGACAATCAAACAAATTGTTTCAATTATATGTATAAAAGAAGTAATAAAAACTTGTGTTTTTTCATAACATTCAATGTCTTATACGTTGAATGTGTACTGAAATGAGCAAATAATTTATATACCATTTTAAGTATTTAGAAACTTAAACTACTGTATATATTACAATACAATTTGATCATCACATAGTTGGGGGTATCCCTCACTAATAGTATCATGTGTTTTCAAATCAAAGAGTATGTATGTTTATATATTCAATAATTTAATCTACAATTTAAGTTAAAGCTCTGGAAATATATTGCAAATACCGAAATGACTTTTTTAAAAGCTTTTGAAAAATTTCCCCTTCTTTTAGAAATTTAAATTTCAAATTAATATTAAAAAAGAGTTAAATTCAAGAATCAAAGAGAAATATAAGTAATTCTTACAAAGAAATTGGCACAAAGAAAGAGAAGTAAATTTATATATATTTACGTTATGTATAGAAACAGATTCTGTTAAGTTATAAACTGATTTACAAATTCTTGCCCTCATATACAATATGCTCTCCTATTATATCATCAATACATCAATTAATTTAATAATTCATTTAGTTTTGGGATTCAAGTAATGGATTATCGAAACAAAAACAAAACTGAAGCACAAAATGTGAATTGAGTTTATAATACAAACAATGGTTAGACGTTAGACGTGTTCCGCTTCAGTCATTATAATCTGCGGCGGAGGCTTATAGAGGATACTGAGTGGTCGCGAGCGCCGCATATTCTGCTGCTGTTGCTGTTGATAGAGGTGTTGTTGGATCTGTTGGTGTTGTCGTTGCTGTTGATTCTGGTAGAGCGATTCGCTCATTGGCTGACCGTTTCTTTGTTGAGCAGTTTTGCGCGGCTGTGGTATCGGAGGAATCATGTGATGGCCGGACATCTGTTGCGGTCGGAGCGCCAAATCAAACTCCACTGACTTTCGCCGTCCGATTCCCCGCTCGTGAGCCAACACAGAGGTGTAGTCTCGGATCAGTTGTGCGATTTGCAGCGCCTATTCGTGCGATAAAGGGTTAGACATAATAATCAAAATGATTGAATAGTTTTCAATCAGACCTGATGTGTAAGGAATATGTATTTCATGGTTTTGGTTCCAGTGGTGGCCAACGCCACTATCATCAGGCTATTGATGGTCGGGTTGTAATCGACAATATTTCGGTAATCACATGAAGACAATACATTCTGATTGAAACAAACCATAAGATTAATAACAGAATACAGATTAAAATATAAGATAACGAATGACTTACTCTAGTCTTAAGTTCCAGCAAATGTAGTCCCATCTGATCGATGGCCAGCCATAGGTTCTTAGGCCACGAAGACGTGTAGGTTTGCATAACTTCAAAGATGGTGGCCCTGTGTAGTGGCCACGACTGGATCATATTGAAGAACGACTGTTTGGCCTCTTCTGCTTGCATACTATGGAGGGTCTGGTGTTGAGTGACCACAGCTTCGGGTGCTATTCGGTTGAGAAGCCGTGGAGGAAGACATTGTCCGATCGCTTGCCGGTAGTCGACGACGCCGTTGTCATAATCACCCAAATCTATCTGCACTTTAAGGGCGCATAACATGACGGCCTCCTGTTCTGTGATCGGGAACCGATCGAAACGAATATTATTCACCATTTGGTGATACAGAAGCTCTTTCTCCACCGGATCTGACATATCGACGAATGCGTCCAAAAGGATGTGTTTCTTATCGATAAATGGATAACAATTAGAAATCATTGTCAAAAAAGTAAAAACATCGAGAATTGAATGCAAAACCAGTAATTATCACATACTTTAAAGACAAAAAAGTGTGTCCTTTCGTGTGGTTTTTTGGTAATGGTTCCGGTCTTTGCCTGTTCTTCGTGCCATTTCTCCCAATAGGCGATAGCGTCGCCCACTTTCTCCTCGGGCTGTAAGGCCTGCTCGTTGTTAACGCCGAGCAGTTGGTAGAGCGCAAACCCGGGAGCGTTTGGCCGCAAATCAATCTTCAGCTGAATTTGTTCGATCACTTCCGATATGACAGCGCAGGCGTCGAACTCCACGGCCTGGAACTGTCCGTCCAAGAAGTGTATGCGAGCGTATATACGGCGACAGTTAATAGTGCTCAGTATTTCGGCCCGAGAGGGGGCCAACTTTCGACCCCTGGTCTCCAGCGTTCCCTGAAGGTTGCGGAGCGTGAAGTGGGAGTACTGGCCCTCTTGGGTCACCTCATCCAACGCGCACCGCCGCAGATGCGAGTGAAGATATGCCAGAATGCGGCGATCGCTGGGGTATGTGATACTGCAGGCGAGCGCCAGGAGCTGCCAGTGGCGCACATTGACCCGGCTGTTTGGATCAGGGTGGTCTGTCGTCTGTTTGATCAGCTGCAAGAAGAACTCGTTGCGCAATATGTCGGCGTCTTTGCGCAGACACTTGTCGAGTATGGTCTGCGCCAACCGGATCTGATCCCTCTCCGTCTGTCGCGGCCACTCCTTCTCGTCCAGAGCCGACTCTTCCGTCTCCGGTATATTGAGTCCAGAGTAGGCGAGAATGGCGTTGAAGTTGTTCACTGCCATCGCCTCCAACTCCGGGTCCGATATGACGAGAATCGAGTGATCGGTCGGGCATTTAGTGTACGCCCAGAAGGAGTGCGGGAAGTGTCTGAAGAAGGCCTCGTCGAACTCGGAGCCGAACTCGTGTTTCATTTTATCCAAACGCACTTTATTTAGGCGCCGAAGAGTGTTGCGAAAGAGGCCCCGATTCTCGTCGGGCGGCCGACGCATGATATTGCTGTCGATGAGCGCCCGGCGGCAGTTGACCACATCGTGATGCAGTTTCATCCGGTCCTCTAACGTCATCTTCAGTAGTCGTCGCCGATTGGGTTCGCCGTTAGCGCCGGCCATACCGTTGAGTGCATTCGTCTGTCGCATCCAATTTGAATGGTTCGGTGAATAACTGGCCACTAATGCCGCGATCTCTTCCTTTTGGTTCGTCTCAAACGTAAAGCTCTTGTGATTTTCGGCCAACGATTTGATCAGTTTTATGGACAATAGGTTTTCGGTGGGAAATACGGTCAACGACTCGATATCACAGTATCGGAAGGCGTTAAGTATGGACTTATCCGCCGGATTAGTGATCAATAGGCCGTCGGAGTTGACGCCGAGGACCAGATTGTGGCCATAAGACAGGTATCCCTTGTATGTCACGTGGAATAGTGTGGCGCCATATGTCGGGTATTGCATCACAACCGACAGATACCACACTTTGGCGATCAGATCGGCCTTCCCTTTGCCATACATGCGGTGCGCGTCCGCGATCTTCATCGCCCACTCCATCTTCGTATAGCCGACAGCCTTTCGGATCCGAAAGCAGATATAGTTCTCGACGTCTTCATAGCTGGCGATCCGGCCGTCGACGTACTCTCCCAGCGATACCTGTGCCTGAAGTCCGGCCAATTGGAGGGCAATGCGTTCGCTGGCGGGGAACTCATCCTTCTTGACCACACTGTGCACCGCCTGAGCGTACAGGAGGTTCACCTCCACCGGATCGTGAGGTATTTCGCACGTGTTTTTGAACAGTCGCTTCTTGAAGACGAACCGACAGTCGCCGGCGCCTAACGTAAGGTTCGCCGCCTGTTGTTTGGCCGCCGGTTTGCCGGTTGTTGTGCCGTAAGTGGTGTTCTTCTGGAAGATCTCCCAATTGGTGATAATGTCGGCGATAAAGTCGTGCCCTTTGATCACACGCTCGTACTCAGGGGTCAGCTCGTAGAGCGCCCACCCGTCCAAACACCGCAGACCTATTTTGCTGGACAGACAGGCCATGGCGTCGTTGGCCGTATCGCACGGGTGAATGTCGATGGCTTTGGTGCGGCCGTCCAAGAAGTAGAAGCGACAGACGAGACTACTGAGTGTCCGCACGGCGTTCACCTCGAGAGCCGAGGGCGGCATTCGTCGGATGTGTGCTTTCGGCGACTGGAGGTTATCGATGCAGAACTGGGCGTAACAACTAATGGACGCGTCTTTACGCAAATGCTTTCGCAGATAACTGTAGAAGTATTTGGCAAAGACTTTGCTCGGCTGGAAGGCAGCGGTGGTCAGCCCTAACATCATCCACACCCGAATCGTGTCGTCTCGCGACGGATTGCCGTTCGACTGGCGGACCAATTGGACGAATATCTCGTCGCGCAGTTCTTCGCGCTCTATTCCGTGTCCGATCACAGTCTGGATGAGCCGAACCTCTGCCTCGAGTTTCAGGTTTCCTTCGATGTATTTACACAACTCCTTAAATATGGCGCAACCGATGACCACATTCTCGGGATCGTGAAGATGGCAGTGAGTGGTCGGTATGGCTGTCGCCGCCGTCCACACAAACATCTCGCTCTTCGGCACGCAGTCATCGCCGGTCTTACGCTTCCTCGTGAGGGTTCGCATCACTCCTCCGCCGCCGAAGTCTCGGACGTGATTATTGAAGAACTTGTCGGCGAACTCGTTCAGGTCATACGTCCGCAGTTCCACACCATTCTTGTCCGCCTGTTGTTCAATGAGCTGTTGTTTCAGCAGTTTATTCTCGGGAAGCGGCGACCCGTCGATGGCCGGCATCGGCGCCACCGGAACCGTTGGCTTACTGTCCGGCGACCAGCCGTTCATCTTCTTGTCCACCATATTCTGGTCGTCGTTCTGTTGGCCATTACTTAGCGTTCTTTTAGTATTATTAATGTTGTTTTGGTCGACAAAACTCTGGTTCTCGATGTCGTCGTTATTGAATTCAAACGAATAACTCCTTTCCGTCGTCTGAAGAGGTGTATAGAGTGGCGATCGTTCCGATTCGGTGGCACTGATCATACTGTCCGCCTCTCGACTCTGCCGGTCGGTGGCCGCAGGAGATCCCAGCGGTGACGGCGACACAGTCTCGATGGTGTCCGACATCATGTCCGACCCGTTGGCCGCCGCCTCCGGATTGGCATTTGTGTCTTTTTTGACGGGCATTTCCGATAACTGTTGGTTGAGTTCATTCATCTGGGTTTCTGTCTTTTGGATCAATTGGTCGAACTGTTGGCTAATATCTGCGATCACATCATCCGCTTTCGCCTCTTGTATTTCGGTTAAGAACGAAAACATTTGCTCCAAATCGGCGTAAGAAGACTCCGGTTTGTGGTTGGGATCACCCGTCGGGTCAATGGACTGGCGTTGGAGTAAACCGTTTTGCTCAATGAGTTTGGCTATTGTTTGCACTTCTTGTTGCGCTAAACTATATTTACGGAAACGACAAGTAATAGTCTATTACTGATGGAAAGTAATATATCATTGGATATACAGTACAGTGTTGTATAACTGATGGGTTTTTTCCTTAACTCAAGCCTTCAAATGAAAATTCAATAACTATTCTGTGTTTGTGTTTAGATTTCTATCCATTTAAGGAGTTTATTTAAGGAAGAGTTTATCTATCGCTAAAAAAGTCTCATTTCAAGCCTAAACTTATATACAAAGCAAACATTAAGTAAACTATTTTCCGCCTAAAATATTTTTATGTGGAATTTAATAAGAATTTAGTTAAGCATTAATAATGAGTGCCAAAGCACTGAAAGAATATTCTGTGTGTATTATATAGTAAATAAATGTAGAGAAAAGTGTGATTTTGGTTAATCCATACCCATATCGTTGCTCCAGAATTGCTCTGTTAGTAGAGTTAGTAGTGGTAGAGAAGTGGTAGTAGAGGAGGGGTTGGCATGAAATATAAGCCATATATTGATTTTTATAATTGATATGATTATAAGTAATACATTTCTATTGTGTTATTGATATTTGAGATGAAAAAAACAAAACAAGCGTCAGTTTAATATAATATATGAGATATTATGGTATTATATAATATATATTTCGTGCAAAACATTAATGAGTCAGAAGTGTTTGGCGTTTGTGTTTCTTCGTGCAGACACTCTCTCCTCCAGAGCACAGATTATTGTACTCTTCAGTCGCCAACAAAACTGCAATCGATAACAGATAAGCGACACAAATGTGTGGATACACTATAAAGTATATACTGCTCTCGTGGCCACATATGCCCTCTCTTTAGCTATATTACCGCTAAATGTATCCATAATTTTAAAATGCTATAAAAAATTCTGTGAGAAACGAGTTTTGTTTTATAATATAAAAAACACTGAAAATTCAATACATTTCTGGTTTTCGTAGCGAATACTGTACTTCTGTTCACCACTTCTGTCACATTAGGGTTTAAAATATAACAAATGTATAAAACAATTTAGGAATCGATTTATAAATGCTTTTAAGTGCATAACAATTACATACAGTAAAGAATATTGAGTTTCATTTAACTGTAAAGCCTTAGGAATATCTCACATAATATATTCAAAAATTGCAACAAAACATCAAAAAACACAATAAAAGTAAAATGATTTATAAAATGGATGAAAACATAATACATACAGAAGCGGTTCGTTAACTTCGGTTCCGTTTGCATTAATCTGTTGACTATCATTGAGTGGATCACTATTTTGTTGCATTTGAGCCAATCTTCTCTGTTCATCGAGTTGTCGCCTCTCGTTGTCCTCCACTTCTTTGCGTCTCATCTCCTCCTCGACTCGTCTCATCTGTTTCATGGCTGCGGCCACTTCTCGGGCAAACATTCCCCTCACAAACGCCTGTAAAGTGATGGCCGCCCTCTTCATCCGCAGATACCGGAGCCGTTCGCGATGGCCCTTAAAGTGCAGCTGAATTATTGTCACACAACTCTTCAATTTGATGTACGCCTGTCTCTGGAAGTATCCACGCATTCGCTTCTGTATGACGACAGCCATCCGATTTAAGAGCGCTTTTCGTTGCTCTTCGAGCGGCTCGTGAACTGTGGACCGAAGAAACACTTTGTTTTTGCCGATTTGCCACTCGGTTTTGGCCATCTTCAGCGTCATCAAGATCTTGGCCGCCGAGTCTGTCTGAAGGCCCTGAAGGCGCACCACTTTCATCACTAAACACCGATATCTCAACACAAACTGACTGATGGCGAAGTGTATGGGAAAGCCCTCCCGACGGATGCGAATGATGTCCAACATTCCCAGGTATTGGAGTTGTGTCTGCACTTGTCGTTCGTCGTAAAAGTTGGGCGCTTTAACCATATTTGGTTTAATGCATCGGACGTACCACGGATTGGTTGAGTGCAACAGATCTACCAGTGCTGTCAACTGGAACCGAAACGCGTCGCCCACTGTTGGCCGACCTTTGCTTGTTTTGGTCGCGCCGTCCGCTCGACCCACAGAGGCATAGGTTGTGTTCGCCACACGACTGGCCGTAACGCTCAACAAATCCTATGTTTGCAAAATATTTAAAGCAAGTATTTAGTGAAAAAGGCTTATTATTCAGTAATCCATGCGTTAAGTGAAATGTGAATTCAATTTACTTCAGCTGTCATTTGGTAACTCCAATACCACTGAGGAATGAATGCGTAAACAGATTTAGCAAAGCGTTAAAATAATTGCCAATTAAATGGTATTAACGTTGAAATGATTGCGTGGATTGTAATCAAAATCAATACCTGAAATTTGACGAGATCTTTGACAAAGATGTTGGACGAGTCGTGCATCAGATCGAAGAGCTGGTCCTGTTGTACGTCCTTATTCTTCTCGAGAAATCCGGTGATATTGTAGACGACATCTCCCGCGTAGTGTTTGATCCCGAACTCCATTCCCCATCGCCTCCTGTCGTCGCCGCGGATGTAATTCCCGTGCGATTCAAACTCTGAATGCAATTTATTGACATATGTGGTGTCCGTTCCCTTCGGTATCCGACACTCCTCTGTCAGCAAACGTATCACACATTTGGGCGGCTTTTCCAACAATTCCAGACACGGAGTGTTGTCCGTGAAGTTGATGTGCGAGAAAGAGATACCTTCCTGTCTGTACTGTATATTCAAACCAAACCGAAAAATTGTCGTTTATTTGTCTGACCATAAGTTTGTATTGTCGGCGGCTTTAACTCACAATTTCCTGTTCCAAAGCGAAGACATAGTGATTGAAGAATCGGTGCAACTTTTCGTTGGCATAATTGATGCACAACTGTTCAAAACTGTTGACATCGAAGTTCTCGAAGCCGAAGATGTCGAGTACGCCGAGAAAGCGGTCGCTGTCCTGACCCGGGTTTGTACACGTGTTGATGTAGGCGACGATCCACGCGAACGTACGCGAGTAGAGGGCTTTGGCCATCGCGTGCCGATTCTCGCGCGCCTCATGCAGTTTGAAGGGTATGTCAGTGACAGTGCCCCTGACGTTGATCTGGCGCTGAAGTGTGGCCAGCGTTAGCTTAAACGCGTCCACACCCAACAGCGTGGCCACCGTCGCGATCACCATCTCGTCGTCGGGACTCAGTTTACAGCGTTCGCCATCCAAGTGGTCCTCAAACTGGAGATTACCCAACCATAGTATGGCGCTCAACACCGAGAAGATGCCGTCGCACATCTCCGGAGGAATGTTCAACACAGACATCGCCAGCCGTAACGCGTCAAACATGTTGGCGTCGTCCACGCCGTCGATCTTATAACAGCCGCTCTGCCGAAGGTATGCGTAACTGTCGAGCGGATCGATGAGAAACTGATTGCGAATGTCTTCGTTGTATTGAGCGCTGGTCACCAATTGGTAGAAGACGTGATAATTGCGTTCACCGAACGACTGGAATGTGATGCGCGACTGTTCCAGGAGGTAGTCCTGAATGATGCAGCCCTTGATTTGGTAGCGCCAGTCGAAACAGACCTGGATGAATTTGCCGAATCGACTCGAGTTGTCGTTTCTGACTGTCTTTGCGTTGCCAAACGCTTCCAGAATGGTGTTGGCCTCGAGTATCTGGTGCTCCATCCATGTCGACTGATTGGACGTAACGGTGCAGAGGTATTGCAGTATGAATTTGGTCGACTCGGTCTTCCCGGCGCCCGACTCACCCGATATGACACACGCCTGGTTCGCGCCGTCCAACTGCAGGTGACTATAGGCGGCCTCAGCGATGGCGAACACATGCGGCTCCTGTTGCGAGATCTTCTGGCCGTTGTATTTGAAGACCCAATCCTTTTGATAGCCATAATTGGATTATAGGATTAATTGGGTATTAACTCAATAACGAATGTCTGAGAGGAAACCAAAACAATTCACTTACCGTCTCATAAATGTCTAATTCCTTGTATGGATTAACGGCCACCAGAATAGTTCCCGTATATGTCTGTAGACAATATTAATCGGTATATTAATCATCATAAAATTATTTGTTTTTATTTCACTATTAATTCTAATGTAATATTTTTTGGGAATAAGTTTATAATAATTTAATTAAAAATAAATTAAAGGGTAATTTGTTATGAAAATTAGATAATAGGGGAAATTAGTGGTGAGTTAAGCAGTAATAGTATTAAATATATATTAGTAGTAGTAATAGTTGATAGACTTACATAGATCTGTTCCCTCTCATATCGCACCTTCAAATTAGTATTGATCCCTCGCTCATCAATATTACTTATAACCGTCAGGTCTGGCACACCGTCTTCGGGCCTCCAGCCTATCGAGTGGACACACATTACAGGCAAACAAACAAAACGATCAATAAAAGCAGTGTTAATGAAATCTAACGATTTCTAAATTCTCATTGTTTTTCCCCTTCGAGTTTGTAGTGGGAAAAGCCTTGAGTGACAAAACACATTAAAATACATGAGATTTATAGCGAGTTTTATTCTCAGAATTATATTCCTGTGCCATAAAAATAGTAACAAAAAAATCGCTGCAATTGATAGAAAACAGCGAAATATATTTTTATGAAATTTTGTTCACTAATAATAAGCATAACTCGAATGCAAGACAGGAAAGACTTTTATATATCGCAAAGGAATTCATAGCAAAGTTACTCTAATAGCGATAGACAGTGTGGATGGAAGAGAGAGAGACGCAAAGAAGTGGAGGACAACGAGAGGCGACAACTCGATGAACAGAGAAGATTGGCTCAAATGCAACAAAATAGTGATCCACTCAATGATAGTCAACAGATTAATGCAAACTGATGTAATATTGATATGAATAACGAAAAAAAAGACTTCATTCAACAAATTGATGAGAGAGAGAGAGAGAGAGAATTATGATTGAAATAAATGATTGCCGGATGAGTTATGACATAAATCATAAAAACTGAACGGAATCTATACTGTTATATTCGGAACTCGAAATTAGTTCATTGCTAACAATGTTTTTTGTATGGTATGTATTTGTATTCATTGGAGATTCATTATTATATCAATGCATAATTGAATCACCGAAAGGCAAATCTAATGTTTGAGTGTATTAATGCATTTTCAATGATAACGTAATATTCATTTAGTAATGATTTGGTTAATTGAGCGATAAATTTGATGATACGATCGACAGGCCATCCAATCTATAAGTGTATTGACCTGAAGGCGAGGGGCGGTAGCCTTAACTCAGCCTTTTTTCGCTGCATTTTCTCAATCTTAGCATTCATTCACATCTCTCTCTCACACTCTATCCTCTCTTCTCACACATACACTCAATGTATGAGAGCATCACATATGAGAGCGTTTGTGATAAACACATACAGAATATACCGTAGTATTGATATACAGAGTAATGTGTATTGCATTACAATGATTGCAACAGTGAAGATAGAGAGAGCGAAAAATGCATCCAATAATTAGTTAATATGAAGCAAATGGATAGTGAAAAAGCAATGGCCATACCTTTCTGTCCGCCGTCCCAACCGTTATCCATAATTATTGCATAACTAATTGTATATAAAAAAGGTGTTGAGAACCCAAATAAATAAAAGCTACAAATATTATTATATGAACTGTTGGAGTGATCGGAGGGTTTGTTTTGTTTGCACTAATGTTTGGTTGTGTTGTGTTGTATAGCAAAGGGAGGATGAGATGACTTCCATTCACTGCTCACATCTTTTTGCTTCACTTTTATCGACCGCAAAGCACAGCACCAGTGAGTTCTGCTTCTCTATCCTCACAGAGAATTGCCTCACAACCAGCGCTCTCTATATATTCCGCTGCCTTTTCGCTCACTCTATCCATATATTCCTCTCTATTCCCTGGTATATACACTCTTCACATACATATGGCTTATGTATAGCTTTGGTTGTTTTGCGAGCGCATCGTTCGCACTGCCGATCGGTTTATATAGAGATCCCTCACTCATGTGCTCATGTGTTGCAAACAGAACACAGGGTTTGATATACGCTGTGTGTTGTCAGACGTGTACTCCCGGTGCCAAACATACGGTGCACTCCTTTTCCTATGAGTCCTATGACTCATTCATTGCCAACCATTTAGTCGGTAATACTCTTATTACATGGTTTCGAAAGTCGTGTTTTTTCATTACTTTTTAATACCATCGGTGTATACATTGAATCGATGCAACGATTAACTAGTTTTGAAATATATTGCACCCAAAGTGATGAGGGGGTGGAGAGAGAGAGAGAGAGAGAGAGAGAGAGAGAGAGAGTTACACATTACTCTGTATATCAATACTACGGTATATTCTGTATGTGTTTATCACAAACGCTCTCATATGTGATGCTCTCATACATTGAGTGTATGTGTGAGAAGAGAGGATAGAGTGTGAGAGAGAGAGAGAGAGAGAGAGAGAGAGAGAGAGAAGAGTATTATTCACGTCTTATTGCATAATAAGTTTGAAAGTTTTTTTTGTCATACCTTAACAACTCATACCTACAAACATTTCATTTTATGCAACAACTTGTAAAACCACTTTCTCTGCTATAATACTGTTTACATTCAATTGCATTCTTGAAGTTTTCAACTATAAAACACTTTAATCTCTTCTCAATCTATTGAATACAATGATAAAAATCTTATTCACAATTGAATAGACGAGACGGGGATTGTATTATAGATTTTTTAGTTTTTTATGATTCATTTGAAATGTATTTTTAGCATTTCCTTTCCTCTAATTTGAGTGTTTTTCCGATGAAACAAGTATTCAATTATCACAGTATTTGATATTATAATATAAATTCAAATTTTAAAATTACATTTCTGTAAATTGTTTTTTGTTTGTCTGAAAATCTTGGGTTTTATAAATATTTTGCGTTCATTTCATATTATTAACATAAATGACAGAAAATATAAGTTATAATAAAATAAATAAGTTATTCACTTCATAACGTAATGAATAGTTTGCATAATTTAAATTCATGGAAAATATTATAGCAAAAACGAAATGCCATTATTATTGCATGTATTTGTAATAAAGTTTGTGAAACACATCTCAAAATAAATAAAATTACATAAAAAATAAAACTTTTAAATTGATTACAAATAAAATTTATATGTTTTCCAACGAAAACACGGGATATTGAAGTGAATTACGGGTTAATTAAGAAATGCATTACAAAAAAATCAAATCAATTATTCAGCGAAAGGCGTTCACAACTAAAATACACTCAAAATATAAGGCATTAAAAATTGAATAATTATTTATCATTTTATCTTTCGATAACAATATGTAATATAATTTCGATATAATTATTAATCAATAAAATACTCTTTTGGGAACTTTTCCCAGAAATACAATGAAAAGTAAGTAAAAAACTAATCGCATATTAACTCATAATACGTGTTGAACACCACTAGTATATCAAAAAACAGTTATAAATCAATTAGTGATTAAAACTTTTAATTTAAAAAGTTTATAAAATATTACATTCAAAACACTGTATGGAAATGAATGGCAAAAATAAGTTTCAAATACTAACCCAAAGCCAAAGTGAAACATATAGTGAGAGTGTATAGAGAGGGCTATAGAGGGCGACAGTAGGCGTGCAGTCAATGCAATGGTGTGTTGTTTGCCGTACTTTATGTGTGTTTCAATGCATTTCACATCCCTTTCCGGCCATACCTTCAAACTCATCGTCCGTTCAGTCAATCAAACACTGCATTAGTTTTGATTGTATTTCCCATTAAT